TCTTAAGTGGTTAGATGATTTGCAAAAAATTAAAAAGTGATAAATTTCCTTCTTTTCATCATTACAAAGCTTACATACCCCGTCACCTTTATAATTTGTCCATCCTGTTTTATTCCCTTCCAAGCCTATTGCATTTGACCTCACCTTAAAGAGGAGGGAAATGCCATGATGATCAAGGGGATCCTTTATATAATTTTCCTTTTTATTGTTGTGTTTAATCCAACCATAGTGCTTTAGGGATTTCATATCTTGAATAGTTTCAACAAAACGCTTTATTTCATTTTCTTCACTAATTTTATAGAAACTTTTAATCTAACTAATATTCTGTGGTCTTTTTAGGCCATAAACATGATCCATACCATTTTGAATTTGGATATTGTTGATATATTTTGGCCAGTTCCAAGCAAGTTTAGCCTTGTCCTGGTATGATTCATGTAGTTTAGAGAAAACTATTTTGGTCCACCTGGTATCATTCATCTTTTGTAATCTGTCCAAATACTGTATTTACGATTTATCGTGAATAAAGTTGATGTCTTGCCATCCTAAATCTCCCAATATTGCTGGGCATGCTACATTCTTATTAACTTTAAGGACAAACTTGCTAAATTGATAATGGACGCTTTTAAGTTTGTTTTTATTCACTATACTTTCTGACAGCCATGCACTAGATCCATAGTGATGGCATGATTATATTTTGCCACAGGACTTCACCATATTCAAATATATTGTAACTGTTATGTTGGTTTATGAATGATTTACAGTATGCTAATATTTCCATTGCTAGTAGAGGTTTTCCGAAAGTAAAATAACACTAATTTATTTTTTATAGAAGAATTTGTTCTTGGTGTTCGGAACAATACGACTGTGACAGAGAGTCTGTTCCATATATGATGGAGTTCTGAAATCTTAGAATAATTAGATATACTTATGTATTGCATAAAGTATAACAAGTTTATTTTGATTATCATGTGCCAAAAAAAATTCACTACACTCTCAAGTAGTTTCGGATAATTTTGTTATGTTCGACAACGTGCATTCTTTTTATCTTTCTGTTTATCATGTGGGTTCAATAATACTTTTTTAAATAAGAAGACAACGAGCTCGAGCTAAGTTGTGCATGGTGAATAAAAACCTGCCGACAGTGCATATTTATTATTGATAAAACCACCACCGAGGGCGATATATTCTCTACACCGACAACAAACGTTTTTAACCCCCCCCCCCCCCCATTTTCTCGTAAATGTAACCATGGAACTATAAACCCCGGGGTTTATAGTTCCATGATGTAACGTACCAACCTTGTTATTGTTATTATTTGGTGTCTTTGACGGTCGCAGTGAACATGCAAATGATCGAACCACACCAAAAGAAATATGCCGCAGGTCGCTCACGATATTCCCCATGTAAATTACATCACCGAATATGTCATAACATCAGCTGTCCTGATATGCTGTGAAAGCTCTCCCGTGGCGACACACGACTACTAAAAATTATCAACCACGGTGCGTGGGATGTTTAGTACCGGTCACGACGGAGTCCTGGTCTTATTATCCCACAGATTGAGCATAAACGGGTGAATTTTATAGGATTGGTCAATGTGATATATCCGACTGTTGGTTTCAATATCCAGAATATCATATTAGTGTAAGCTGTGATTTGTGAGCATAACCAAACAATATTGACAGCTGTCGCACTGAATTTATCGATCAAACATATTATTAACAAAACCACAGTAGTTTAACAAATGGTGTTTCTTTGGATACAACACACTTTAGAAAATGTGAGTTTTAACTTAGTCACCATTTAAGACATTAATATATATACATTTGTACTGTGAATTACTCCGATTGCTCTGTTTTAGCTGGAATTATTTTGTTGATGAACCCTACAGTTTGTAGGTTTGACACTGGTAGTTCATTTCCCCAGATTAGTCATACATTGCATACAAACCATCTTACAACAAACAAGTATTTTCATTGATTTGCCTCTTGTTGGCGATCCGTTCCCAGAGAGAATTGTCCTCTTAATAACTACGTCCGTCCACGTGTCTATCTGTCGACACCGTGACGTACGTATTAACTCTTCTGTAATTTTATTTTAGCTGGCTGATTCTCTTTAAACTTGACAGTTAGGTGCGAACAATCTTGAAAAATATCTGCCTACCGTTGCTATGGCAACACCCAAAACCTGAATTTGTGGCCATACCATGAGCAAAATAAATCTATGAGTAAAAGATTCAGAAATAATTTCATTCTACTCAGCTTAAATGCCTCTCAAATTTTACTATTGCGTTTTTGAGTCTAGGTCAGTGTTTTCACTGGGTGGATAATACTGTACAAAGACAGTACAGCAAAGTATCGACCGACATGCAGCGGCGTACTGTCTGAGTGCATACTTTGAGGTATCCTCGTAATAACCTTATTATACATCTTTTCCTTCCAAGAATACATCATGGTTCACAGAATCAGTGAACAAACCCCAATGGCAGCCATGCATGTTTTTATTATGAACTTGAAGTCCATAAGTGTACAAATCTGGCAAGCAAGTTCACAAAGTAATTTGCTAATTAATGTAGGTCCAATGGAAATATTGTCAGGCCGAACAGTACAAGGGTTTGTATGTCTGCAAGTACTAGTATTATCTTTTAAGTGATTTTTTTACCTAGATAGACTTTGTTCAAACTTGATTGTCAACCTACAATCTACTAGTAGTAAGTGGGAAGATTCATCACAAGCAGATGACCAATCAAGTAACAATTCATTGTCAATGACATCCCAATTTGTTTTATAGCGAAGAAACGAGTCAACTCCATATAGGATTTTGCGATAGAAAATTCAACTAGTTTTGGGAAGAAACTTTTCTTTTCCCTACAGCCCAATGCCAGCATCAACTGTAAACCATTCCTATTTTCAAGCACTTTAAGCATTTTTTTCAAATTGTATAGTTATATTGATTTATAGTAACATTTGACATCATCTTCGTAAGCTATTCAAAGTATCTACTAGAGGTTACAAATGTTGCCGTTTACTACAAAACAAATGTGAATAGGAGTAACATGATGAAACGAGTTTTAACATCGAATTTGTCCAAATTTGGAGAACGCACAAAATCTATTAAAGATACGAATGAAATAGAAACTCCTTGTCCATGCACCTAATATATCTGGTTTTCTAAGAAAAGTTTCACTAAAATAAAGTACACCAAGGTTCTGGGTGAAAATACAAAACAGCTTTATTCAGCATATTCTGAAAAAAATAATTTTCAAAAGTTGTGTACAATTTCGATGTATATACTCAAAATATTGTTGTCTCCAACATAATGGAAATAAGTTGTTATACAATTCTTATCTGCGTGCATTACAGTCATGATAGCAATTTGATTAACTGCAAAACCAGTTCACTTCAATGATTGTTGGTATACACTGATCACTTTCAATAATATCTTAATAATTAACTCCAGAATTTGTCTAAAGACGACTCCTTACAAAAACATTTGTGTAAATTGCACAGTTACATTCAGGTCACTGTCAATTAAGTTTTACTGAAATAATTTCATACAAAATATATCTGTATGTAGTGCGCCCTCTATGCCGCTACAGCGTGCCACTAGTTATGCTAATTCATTGGTGCATTATTGATGAAACTAAAAATTGGTAAAATTCACACAAGCACAACCCCTTGGGAAATCAGGCATAAACATTTGATTGTACCCAAAGTCACCCATACTGGAATGTGCAATTTTATTTTGAAAAACAAAAAATGTGCCACCAGATTTCTGCAGTTAACACATTTTTTGTTAATAAAATGTGAATTTTATTTTACCAAATAGTGCAACTATAGCAAGATGATTTTCAAGATATCTATATTAATGTATGATTTTCTGTAGCACCAGCGAATTAGTCAACGAGTTGTATCATCACATCAAATCCATGTGCACCAGTGAAGCGTCATATTGGCATACAAGGCACACTACAGTACATGTATTAGGAATGCAAGCAGCTCGATAAGACGAGAGCCATTAAGTAAATTTTCCAGAAATGAACTAAATACAAATTCACCTGCAGTACACTTTCAAAAAGTGGCCTTTTAACGATTAATAAATAACAAATGCGTATGAATACGCACATTCATAGGCTCCACAGGAGCAAAGATGTTTGGTTTCATCAAGAAACGGTATAATTACTTAAAATAAGTAAAAATAAATAAATTATGGATAGCCATGATGTAAACTTAAGAATAGCATTGAAATGAAAAGCTTAAAGGATATAAAATATAAATCAATGTAAGAAATACAAATTATCTCGATATCAGATTTTGTGTAAATATGGAAAATGTATACAATTTCACATATCATAGTTAAATATTCAGTAAAAGGAGATAAAATATAATTTTTTTTTATATGAAAGAAAAATGTTTTGCTAATTTAATAAACAGTAGAACCAAATTGCAAAACAATAAATAGTATTTTTATGCAGCAAAGTGAAAAAAAAAACAATTTTAAATTCAGTTCTATGAAGATACAGCATGCAGGCATGCAGCAGAAAAAGTTCTCAAAACCCTGGTTTACAGAAGTTTTTGTAAATTGATATTTGGTGGTTATTGGATAAAGGCAGCAGATTTGATATCTTCCTCGTATTCTTGCTTCAGTTGAGTTTTTTGTTGACTGCAAATTAACAAGAGATTAGAGAAATTACAATGAGAACCTGCAAAATTCCCAGAACTGGGAATTATACAGAGCATGTTTACTTCCAATACCTCACCTTACAGAGGCACTCTGGTGCAAACTAGTAAATGACGTGCGACTGATCACATTTTAATGATCCAATATATGCAATTTTATTTCCTATATGCACTTTTATGAAAATACGCTGCCAACAGACCAAACCTTAGTAATGTATATTATGAAAACCATTATAAGGCCCAGAAAAAATAATGACAGACCTTTCACATGATGTTGGTATTAAAAGACCAACTAGTATGTTTTTAGCTATCTACCTTTCCACCTGTTATTTTAGACAGTCGAGACACTACTAGGCTAGACAGAAATATGGACTACAGTATTGAAGTTTGTAAATGCTAGTTTTGTGAATCTGGTAATCCAAGGTTATTTATGTACTAAGTTTAATTTAAATCTGATAAAAGTTGAGATTTCAAAAAATAATTGTCTGAATTTTGAAAAGTAGGCAATAAACAAGCATGTTCCAATTTTCATTGAATTCAGCGGAATTAGTTCATAATTTCAGTGGAACAGACATGCATGCATGCATGTTTACTGGTACATACATACAGTTGCACACAGACAAGGAAATAAGAGGAATAAAAATCTGGGGGGCACTTTTCAATATTGTTCAAGAAAGCCTCGTCATTTTCCAGCCATAACCCAAGTGGACACAGGTGTAGATTTAAATTTATTAAAAATTGTATAATGCTAAATCACATAAAAACCTAAAAAAGATACGACAAACGTCTCCTTAACTGAGTATGCGATGACCAGAAACCTAGGTGTCTGGTGTAAAATTGTAACTTACTTTTTTACAGAAATTTCTTTTGATTTCAAAGCAGCAACTTCCACTGCATCTATAAGACAATTCCTAAAGCCTTGTTGTTCAAGTTTGTGAATTGCAGAGATTGTAGTGCCCAATGGAGAACAAACGTCATCTTTCAAAACCATTGGATGGCTTTCAGTTTCTAACACCATTTTAGCAGCTCCCTAGTAAAATAAAGTGATAACACATTGAATTGTATTACTAGTACTATATAAAATAGGTATAGTGATACATCATGCAACATAGCATATATTTATGGTAATAGCATGCTAGTAAATAAATATTTAGTCTACCAAAAATCTATATTGAAATGCAAGACAATGAGCTGTATTTGGAAAGAGTTCCTTTTGTACCCCCCCCCCCATCCCTACCCTCCAGCACTCCCCATTTACCGTTAAAATCCTATTATAAACCGCGGTTTATATTACAATGTATCAAATAAAAAATTGGGATCAACAGCTCAAGTTCGGGGTGCGGTTTATATTAGGGACATATTGCAATCACTAAATGGGCGTGGTCATTTTTTTCCCCACATCATTCGCACAAAACAAACAATACACCGTACAATCTTTTGAATATAAGCGTAACTCCAATTTAGATGTCCGGGAAGAGTGATAAGCCTCACGTCACAAAAAAACTGTTCTCATGAAAAAAAAATACTTCGTATATTTAATGTAATATGCATTTTTTTTATTTTCTTCGTAACGGAAAGTATATTCTGACAGGAGTTTCAAATAAAAACAAACATTAATGCATTGCTTAGTAGAAAATGATCATGGTACGGCACTAAAAAAAGTACGGTACCGTGGCTACGGTAACGCAATCCGGCCATGCTCGGC